TAGTAGACAAGAATTATCTTAGGTGAAGGGAAGGTCAACACACACTACAGGGTAAGTCAGCACAACTGGACTAAACTAAAGCTAAGAAGTTTCCTGAATACAATCAAACACTTCAAGGGACAGAGTAGCAGGGGCAGGGGTCTGGGGACCATAGTTTCAGGGGACATCTAGGTCAACTGGCATAACAAAGTTTATCAAGAAAATGTTCTGCATCCTACTTTGGTGATGGCGTCTGGGGTCTTAAAAGCTAGCGAGTGGCCATCTAAGGTGCATCAATTGGTCCCAACCCACCTGGAGTAAAGGAGAATGAAGAACACCAAAGACACAAGGAGAGTATTAGCCCAAGAGACAGAAAGGGCCACAGGAACCAGAGACTGCATCAGCCTGAGACCAGAAGAACTAGTTGGTGCCCGGCTACCACCAATGACCCCCTGACAGGGAACACAACAGAGAGTCCCTGATGGAGAGGAGAAAAGTAGGGTGCAGAACTCAAATTCTAGTAAAAAGACCAGACTTAATAGTCTGACTGAGACTGGAGGAACCCTGGAAAGCATGGCCCCTGGACTCTCTATCAACCCAGAACTAAAACCATTCCCGAGGCCAACTCTTCAGACAAAGATTAGACTGGACTATAGGCTATAAAATGATACTCGTGAAGAGTGTGTTTCTTAGCTCAAGTAGATACATGAGACTACATGGGCAGCTCCTGTCCAGAGGTGAGATGAGAAGGCAGAGAGGGTCAGGAGCTGGTTGAATGGATACAGGAAATCAGGGGTGGAAAGGAGGAGTGTGCTGTCACAGTATACAGAGAGCAACTAGGCTCACAAAGCAATGTTTGTATAAATTTTTGTGTGAGAGACTAACTTAAATTGTAAACTTTCACTTAAAGCTCAACAATGAAAAAAGAAAAGAAAACCTTTGGAGCACATGGTGTTGCCATGAGTCGAAGCTGACTCGACAATAAAATATTAATACTCAAAATATATAATTCTACACATTAATGAGAAAAAACCACAAATAATAATCTAGGAATAATGCACAGAAGACTGTCAGATGAGAATTCATAGCACAGGGAACATAAATCCCAATTAAAATAAAGAAATCAAGGAAATGCAAATTAAAATACCAATGAGATATTTCATAGTGAATAGTCTGGTAAAAATTAAGAAGCCTGACAATATATAGTTGTTCAAGATTGGAAACAATAGGGACACTTACATGCTGCTTATCAGAATGTGACTAGGTACAGCCATACAGAAAACAATTTGGTTATATCTACTAAAGTTTAAGATGTTCCTATTCCCTGACTCAACTAGTAAAGAGAAATAAATAAGAGAAACTCTGAACACCTACACAAAGACACCTGTCAAAGAATTTTAATAGCATCGTTTGTAAATTAAAAGAAGATAAAAGAAAAGAAAGACATGGTAACAACTAAAATGTCCATCCTTAGACAAGGTGATAGAATAATTGTGGTACGTTTGCAGATGAATCTCACATATATAATATTGAATAAAATGTATATTGTAGAAAAATGCATACAGAAATCCACACTTCAATATACTAGGACCTAGGGATGAATCCCACATTGATTGTGTAAGAATGAAAACCAAAATTAGAATCGTGTTTATCAGAGGATGAAGAGGAGGGTGATGTTACTGGAAAGAGGTACAAAGGGGGCTTCCACTACATTGGTAATTATTTGACTCCTAAATTGGGTGGTGAATATGTAGGTGAAGGCTTTTTATTCTGTATACCTTTTCGTATATCATAAATATTTCACTATACATTACAAAATAAGGTAATAAATGCTTCTATGGGCTTAGAGACAAATCTGTAGTAATAAATAGACAGTTGTTACTTGTCAGTTTTTGTTTTTAATAAGTCTAACTTTTTTAATTATAAAAAATGAAAATATATTCATGGAAATAGTTGTAACCCTGGAGTAGATAAGAACCTTGTTAGGAATATAGAAAGGAAGTAGAAATGGAAAAGATTGACAAATTCAAGACTCAAATACAAAAATGTATGAAAAATTTTCAGGGACAAGATGGACAAAAAAATATTAACACACTTCAACAGATAAGTTGGTAAGTGTATGAACAGGCGATTCATGAATAATTCAAAAAGGTAATAAATGAGAGGATGTTGAACACCACCAGTAACTGAAGAAATTCCAGGGGAAAAAAAATTTGCCTTTTTAATGACAGATTAATACAATTAACTCTCTATGTTTGGAAAGAGTAAACGGTAAATATTGTCTCACACACTGTTGTTAAAGAGTAAATTGGAATAACCATATTGGAAGGGGACTTAGTTATCTTGTGCAGCTATAACAGAAATACCACAAGTCAGCGGCTTTAACAAACAGAAATTTCTTTTCTCACAGTTTAAGAGGCTAGAAGTCCAAATTCTGGGTGCCAACTCTAGGGGAAGTCTTTCTCTCTCTGCCAGCTCTGGAGGAGACTGTACAATAAAGTTGCCACTATCTAAGCATTTTAAATTTGAATTAATTCAAAGTAACAAAAAAAAGTATGAACTTAATTCCTCAGTCACTTTAGCCACATTTGAAGTGTTCAATATCCACATACAACTAGTGGCTACCATATAGGACCGCACACACACAGAAAATGTCTGCCGCTGTAGAAAGTTCTTTTGGGCTGTGCTGGGTTGTAAACTGTAGATAAGTGGTTGTTGTTAGTTGCCATCCAGTAGATTCCAACTCATAGTTACCCCATGTGTGCAGAGTGGAACTTTTCAATAGGGTTTTCAAGGCTGTGACCTTTCAGAAGCAAATGCCCATGTCTGTCTTTCGGAGGCGTCTCTGGGTGGGTTCAAATCACCAACTTTTTGGCAGCAGCCAAGTGGTTAACTGTTTGCATTACCCAAGGACTCCTTAAAATTAGCTTAAAATAATAGAACATGAGCAATAATGCATGTCACTTCCTGTGTTGTCCTTTCAGAGCCAGTGTCCCATCTCCACGCTCTCTCTTTTGCTAGTTACAGGGACCCTATGGTGTGGTATCATATGACTAAGGACGTTCGATTCCTGGACCACCGAATGGAGCAAAGCATTACTCATCCACATTGTATTTTATATTATTAAAAAATGGGTATAATCTTGCTAAACTGAGATTACCACAGCGCAGCACAGCTATCCCGATCAACATAGAAGTTACTCTCACCCAAATGAAATGGTTCTCAAAAGTTCTCCTGGTCACCTTCCCCAAATTACAGAGGTACGCAAAACTTACAGAGATATGCTAAGGAAAACTCTCTGTTACCATAAATTATAAACAATATACACACTGGATTCCAAATACAAACATCAGTTAAAACAGTGGCAGCTTAACACAGTGTAATGTAACATATGGTATGGATTGTATTGTAGCCCCCCAAAATATAAGTTGCAATCCTAACTCTCCTATCTGTGCATGCCATCCAGTTTGGGAATAGGATTTTCTTTGTCATGTTAATGAGGCTTTATCAGTGTAGGGTGTCTTCAGAAGCTAATCACTAACACAAAAAACCAACTGTCATTGAGCCCATTCTGTCTCACGGGGATGACATGTGTTGCAGGGTAGAACTTTGCTTTATAGGGTTTTCAGGGTTGTGAACTCTGAGCCATATCGCGTTGTAAAAAGAGCAGTGTAAACCCAGAAGCAACCACAAATAGATTGAAGATAGATGCCACATGAAGATATTCAAGAAATACCAGGGCTAAAAGAGCTGAAAAAGGCAAAAATCTTTCCTGGGAGCCAACAGAGAGAGCCTTCCCTTAGAGTTGGTGCCCTGAATTTGGACTTCTGGCCTCCAAAACTGAGAAAAAAAATTCTGATCTTTAAAGGCATTCGTGTGTAGTATTTCTGTTACAGCAGCACTGGGAAACTGAGACACATAGATATGTAGCATTCTGAGGTAGCATATGGGCATAGTTTTATAAAATACGGAACAAAAGGAAAGCAAATACAATACTGAAAAATTTTATAAAAGGAGATAAAATAGAAAATAGAATGTGCTATTTTTTGTACACTAGAGTATTTCTGAGATTGTAATTTGTTTAGGTCGTAACCCTGGCCATTACTTGACAGGATATGATCTGTATATTGGCAGAATTCGCCTCCACCAACTTTTCAAGTATCCTACATGTTAAACTGGGAGTCCCTAGCTGGCACAAAAGGTTAAGTGCTCAACTACTAGCCAAAAGGTTGGCGGTTTGATACCATCTAGAGGCATCTTGAAAGATAGGCCCGGTGATCTGCTTCCAAAAGGCCATGGCCTTAAAAACCTTATGCAGCAGTCTACTCTGCACACAGGAGGTCACCATGAGTTGGAGTCAACTTGACAGCAACTAACAAGAACCAATTAAGCTTAGCTGACCACTTCTTTCTTGGTTAATTGTGGGACAAGAGTTTATCAGCTCTCGCTGGAGTTTCATAGTCATTACCTTATCACTTGTCACATTCCATTCAATGCATCCTTCCCATCTTCCCCTCTCTCCCCTAACCATTCTTTTTAAATGCTGGCCTCTTTAATAGTGGTCTAAACACTTCGACATTAAAAGTGCTTCCCATTCTCCAATATTACAGGAAACAAATAACCCTTTTCTTCAATATATTGCATAGGATGAACAACTTACTTAACAAACTGGTGAATTTATAGAAATAGAGATGGTATGAATTGAATTGTGTTCCCCCAAAAGACATGTCGAAGTCCTCACCCCTGGAACTGTGAATGTGACCTTGTTTGTAAATAGGGTCATTCTTTGAAGATATTATCAGTTAAGTTACTGACGTCATACCAGAGTAGTGGTGGTCCTCATCCTGTATGACTGGTGTCTTAAAAAACAAGGACAGATCAGAGACAAACAGTGACTCCAGGGATGACGCCCTGTAAAGATATGTCTACAAACAGCAAAAAACGACCAACTAAACAAACGAAAAATAAATACATAAAAAAAACAAACACCAGTAACAAGAAGAATCGTCAAATATTGCTGGCAGACACCTGAAGGTGGCAAAGAGAGGAGAAACGCGTGGAACAGTTACTTTCCCAGAGCCCTCAGGAAGAATGTTGTTTTGTTCCTTCAACCCTAGGAAACCACGACAGACGAATTGATAGCAAAATTGTAGATGTTGTAAAGTGCACATGGAAGTTTGAAAAAACAATGTTAAGAAAAAATTGTAAGTTTGAACTATTTTATTTGAGAACTGCAAAAGCATTTTACAATTATTTGCTGCAACATTTGTGTGGAATAGGCAAAGTAATGTCATAATTACTTGAAAATCACAACCAAAATCCAAGACATCATAGTTATTTGAGATCATCATCCCAGAAATTAGTAATTATAGAATATTCTAAGTACCATTCATGTACAATAGGAAGGAAAAAAACAATAAAAATGGCTTTCAAGCAGTTCTTCATTCCAGGTTGACTATCTGAATTGTAAGTAAGTCTGAATAAGGTCCAACATAGAAATAGGGTCTTAGTTTTTCTCTAAACGTATCATTGAAAGTATAGATAAGCGTCTTATTATTCAGATTATAAAATGACACCTCTCCCAACTCATAGTCCAGAAAAATACCAACCCGTCTGGATTTAATTCTATTTAATGCATCGAAGGTGTAAGACCAGAGCCGGATTTGCCAGCATCCATCTTTTGGGGATGGTGATGTAATAGTATCTCTGGGAAAAGATTCCTTACAGACGCCTACGGCCCATTCACCCTTGCCTCTTACTTCTACCTGCCAGTAATGCCTGCCAGAAACAAATCCCTGAGAACTCAGGAGAGCTGGGAGAAAAGAAAATTTCTTGGAATTCTGAAGATAGTTTGGGTTCATCTTTCGTAATGTCACACTTTTTCTATCTTCTGAGATAACAAGATTGGGGTGTGCAGTTTCAATATCTAGTGTCAAATTTACCTTAAATAAGTTGATCTTTTTCTGTAGGTTGAAATATTGCTCAGAAGAACTGATGTATTTTTTCTTTAACTCATATGAAAAGACTGTTGGAGTGCTTAGGTTTTCATACTTGTTGTAAATACTTTCAATACCTGTGAGTAATTCCAGTTCTGACTGCACACACTTCTCTGTTATTTCAACCAGCAGATTTTTTAGTGTTGAAATATGCTCTGAGAATATTACTCTGCTTTCACTTAATTTTTTTTGAATATCTTTCTCTTCAATTTGTAATGTGAAAAGAATTACATCCTTCTCTTTTTCCAAAACGTCCTTAACTTGTTCAAAATCAGAGTATAATTCCCCCATCTGATTTTCCACTTTGATCTTCAATTCAAATGATTTTGAAACTTGGATTTTTAACTCCTTCTCAGCATTTCCAACTTGCTTCTTCAGGAGCTCAACGTAGTATTTGAGCTTCCTCCTGTGACTGGTCGCAGCTTGGTCAATGGGCATGAGGTGGTGATCCTGGTGGTTGGAGATCTTGCACTGGGGACACAGCAGCTCCAGGTCCTTCTCACAGAACAGGGACAGCTCCTGGTTGTGCTTCTCACACAGGGGTTTCTCTTCCTGCCGTTTCCTCTTGCTCCTCATGGTGGGAATTTGCTTAACAATATCAGTCATGTTACATAGCTGGGTGTTCTGCTTTAGGTTCCCATTACAGCAGTGGTGGAGGCAGATGGGACAGGGGAAGATGTCCCGTAGACCTTCCCAGCTCTGGTGGATGCAGGAGCGACAGAAGTTGTGGCCACAGGCAATGGTCACAGGGTCTCTCAGGTAATCCAGGCAGATGGGGCAGTAGGCCTCTGCTTGGAGGTCGGCCAAGGAGACTGCAAACGCCATTGCGCAGTGAGGGTTTTGGTCTGAGGAAACTCAGGTCAGAAAGGCCTGGTTCTCCAGGAGCTAGGAAAAGTGAGAAGCTGGTGACCTTAGTTGTCCCTCTCCTTCCTGGAATGTAGCACCTTGGAAGTGGCACACCCTCAAGTGTGTTTCTCTCTTTTCACATCAGTCGCAGAGGACACTTCCAAGGGGAGACAAAGCACACAGCCCATCAGATATCTCTGGCACCTTCTTGTTTCTCGAGTGTCCAGCCAGATTTCAGCACAGCTCTGGAGTCCTATTAGTCAGGAAGCAGCCTGACCAAGTCACCAAGTAGTTCCTGTGGGCAAGAAGATATCGTCATCCAAAACTGAAGTTCAATCAAGAGTAAACTCCATCCTTCTCATATAAGACTTACTTTAGGGTAACTAAAGGGTTATTGAAGGAGAATGTCTCTTGAATGAATTCCAGCTAAGACATGCAGTAGGAATTACGAAATTATATATTAATCTTATTTGCGTTTTGCCTAAAATGGATATACAGTAAAAACAAACATACAATAACATCAACAACAAACATAATAACCCACAAGTGAAAACAACTCAAATGGCCAGCAAACTGGTGAACAGATGAATAAATTGTGGCATATGATTACGGTGCAATAGTAGTCAGCAATAAAAATGAATAAACTGCTGATTCTCAGAACATGGAGGAAAATAAAAATATTTATTTGTGAAAGCAGCCAGACCCTCTACTCCCACAAGATATATACTGTATTATACCATGTATATATTATACCAAATTCTAGAAAATCCAAACCAATCTATAGTGACAGAAAGTAGGTGAGTACTTGCCTTGTGCGGTGACTGAGGAGGGGTGGAAGGAAGAATTACATTAGGGCAAGAGCAAACATTTGGGGCTGATGGATTTGTTCATTATCTTGACTGTGGTAATAGTTTCATAGGAGCCCTCTTGACACAGTTGTTAAGAGCTTGGCTGCTAACAGAAAGGCTGGTGGTTCGAACCCACTAGCTACTCTGTGGCAGATAGATGCGGCAATCTGCTTTACACCCTTGGAAAACCATGTGGGGCAGTTCTACTCTGTCCTGTAGGGTCACTATGAATAGTTTCACGGACATATAACATATGTCAAAGTTTACTAAATTTTACACTTTAATACCCAGTAATTTATAATATGACAGTTTTGACTCAAGAAGTATATTTTTTAATGGTAACAAAACCCTTTCCTGTTTATGCATATGAATTGATGTTTTATTAACTTCTGATTAACTTCCTAGTTCTGTTCCCCTAGCAACCTCACAAGGTGGCATGGTACCTAGGTTGCTAGGCAACACTGCTTATGGCAAAAATAACCCCATTGGTAAATTGTATCTGGACTTGGAGGAGCAAAGACGACACTATAAATATCTAATGGGAACACCATAGTTTTGGCCTTTGTTGAGTAAGGCGACTCTTATAATTGGACATGTCCCTTGTAGGGACCATGGAAGCTACATCTATGGAGTAACAACACCCATGGTGCAGGAGGCCTTTAAGCCATGGAGATTCCCACCTTGGCTCAGCGCATATCTTGTCTCCTTGATGCTGAATTGTCACTTGGTGGTGGTCTAGCAGCAAGGACTCCCCTGGAAGAGAAGCGCCTAATGCTACCCAGCTGGCAAGCTATGGTTTCTGTCCCACTTCTTTCTAAGTGAATATGATACCAAGTGTGGCCTACAATACTCTTGCGAATCTGAAAGTTTGTTAGGAAAATTGCCTGATGTGGGTTGCAACAAGTAAATCATGCAAATGTGAACTCCAACTGGATATTTGATGAAAATAAAGAATTTCACTGAATTCACTGCATTTCTTATGTGTCTGTGTGTATGTACTGCTGGAATTTAAAAAATATAGTTTCCACAAGATTGCTTATGAGTTTATAATTGCTGAAGCTACATGATAGGTATGTGGGGACTCATTTTGCTAATTAGTCTACTTTTGAATATGTTTGGAATTTTGCATTATGAAAAGGAGAGAAGCTTCTACTTACGGCCATAACTCTTCCATTGAGAACAACTTTGAAAGATGGATAAAACACACAAAGTACCTGATTTCAGGCAATGGAGAGCAAACAAGGCTGTCAGGACCTGAGAGGCCAAAATTCTGGACAGTAGGGGAGCCACACATTGGATTCCCTTTGCACTCCTTAGGTTAATGGGTATTCCTCACATGGGGGAGGGATATATTCCTATTTTCATATATCACGTGTATATACAGTGTATAAAGCATTGCATCTGTGCATCCCCTCCCTATTCCTGCACAGAGCGTCAGCCATCACCCTCTCTCCCATGTCTATGCCTCTTTACTAGATTATACCCCCCAGCATACAAATGAGGTATTATTGCTCCCATCTCAAAGAAATCCCCTCTTGATTGCAACTCTCCATCCAGCTACCATCTAATTTTTCTGGTCTTTTTACAGCAAAATTCTTTGAAAGTATTTTCTCTACTTCCTCAGTTCTTTCTTCCCATTCTCTCTTGAGTCTATTACAAAGTAGTTTCACAGTCAACACAAACACCTCTTTTATTAAATTTACCAATGGCATCTACTTGGCTATATTCAATGGGCGTTTTCATTTCTCAACATGCTTGACCTATAAAAAGCACTTGATATAGTTGATGACGCTCTCGTCCTGAAACACTGGGTTTCCAGACCACAACACACTCATGGTTTTCTCCTATCTTTCTGATCATTTCTGCTAAACTTTTTTGCTAGATTGCCCTCATCTCCGCTAACTCTAAAGTGTGCAAGAACTGGGGTTGACCGTTTTTGCAAATAAAAATACGGGACACTGAGTTCAAACAGAAATATTGCATGGGATGCTACCACCGACTGCTCTGACAGGGATTACAACAGAGGGTCCTGGACAGAGCTGGAGAAAAATGTAGAACTAACTCACAAAAGAACACCTGACTTACTGGCCTGACAGAGACTGGAGAAACCCCGAGACACCCTTTCAGTTCAGTAATGAAGTCACTCCTGAGATTCACCCTTCAGCCAAAGATTAGACAGGCCTATAAAACAAAACGAGACTAATGGGGCACAACAGCCCAGGACAAGGACTAGAAGGCAAGAGGGCACAGGAAAGCTGGTAATAGGGAACCCAAAGTTGAGAAGGGACAGTGTTGACATGTCGTGGGGTTATTAACCAACATCATAAAACAGTATGTGTACTATCTGTTTAATGAGAAACTATTTGTTCTATAAACCTTCATCTAAAGTACAATAAAAAAATAAAAAAAAGGTTTTGTGGACATGTATTAAAACAAGCACAGTAAATAATAAATACATTTGAGAAGATAAAAAAAGAAATATTGCATAAGATATAATTATCCTTTAAAAAATCTGTTGTTTATCTGAAATTCATACTTAATTGGGCATCTTGTATTTTATTTGGCAACCCTAATCAGAACACAGTCTTTGTCTCTGTTTTATCTGTATCACTCTTATAGGCGATCTCTTCTACTTTCAAGGTTTCCAATATCATTTATATGCGGATAACTCCTACATTTCAGCTCCAGCTTGGCTCTCTTCCCTAAACTCTAGATCCATGTACCCAATCACTCCTTGTCACCTCTACTCGGATGCCAAATAGGCATAAAAAACTTAGTATGTTCAAAACCCAGATCTGAATATTACTATCCAAAGCAGATACTGGTGCAATGTTCTTCATAACCATTAATGCCAAACACATTCTACCAGCTCCTCAGGCTGGACACATTGATTGGTACCATCCTTGATCCTTCTTTTTCTCTCACACTCCACATCAGGATCATCAGACTATCTTCTAAGCTTTTAAAATGGGCCCATCATTCCATCACTTCTCATGACTCACAATGCCATTACACTGCTCTACACCATCATCGTTTCTTTCCTAGATTATTGTAATAACTTTGTAATGTTTCCCTGCCTCACAATTTCCCCATTTTCAGCACAGTAGCTAAAGTCCCTGGTAAAATATAAACTGATTGTGTTTTTTTGTTTTTTTTTTTCTCTCCAGATCTTCTAGTGGCTTCCCACTTTGCTTACTTTCCTAAGTCTGTATCACAACATACAGGATCTTACGTGAGTTGTGCTCCTACTCTTCACTTCCACTGTTTCATCCCCTGAATAATCTTCCTCTGGTTCTCTCAGCTCTAGTACATCAGCCTCCTTGCCATTCCCTGAACATTCCAGGCATGATTTCTTCTGCCTGAATTATTGTTCCCTAGAGATTTCAAGGCTAATTCCTTTGCTGCCTTTACATCGTTACTCAAACGTCACCTTGTCTAAGACATTTTTCTTGACCGTCTCCTGTAAAATTCCTGTTCACACCCAACATTTCATATCTCCTTCTATGTTTATTTTTTCACTGTATCACTTATCACTACAAGCTCCATGAGAACAAAGATTTTTGTTCCTCTTTGCTTCACCGCTGTACCACAAAGCCTAGAACAATGCTTGGCACAGAGTAGGTGTTCAGTCAATATTCCCAAAATGAGTAATTGCATGAGAAAATAGATATCAAACAGTGTAAACTGTTATTTCTAGAAGACAGGCTGGGAACTGTTAATTTCAATTGTCCACTGTTCTCTATTGCTTTTTATATAGTTATTCATTTACATATTTATTTATAACGAGCATACGTTACTTTTATTATAGACTTCCATTTGAGGAAATTGAAGATTATATGATGCCATAGAATGCCATGCTACATATTGCGAAGTGAGAAAAAGACTGGCTAAAAAGGTCTAGGAGTCCCTGGGTGGTAAAAATGGTTAACGTGTTCAGCTGCTACCAGAAACGTGGCAGTTTGAGTCCATCCAGAAGCACCTCAGAAGAAAGCCGTGGTTATCTATTTCCCAAAAATCAGCCTTTGAAAACCCTGTGGAGAACATTTCTACTCTGACACATATGGTGTCCCCATGAGCTGGAAAGGACTCAGGGGCAACTGGTTGAACAGGTCTACGTAAACATAAAAATGCTTATATTAAATATACATAGGCCAACAGAAGTTGACATGCTCATAGAAATCTAAACATATTGAATTGGGAATATCAATCCCAGCTGTCTCTGGGGGGTGGGAGTTTTTAGTGAGAAGTGTTCTAAATTTTCAAATATCTTAAAATTAATCCTAAAAGAGTAATAGTATTAATAATACCATCCACATTTGAGAATATACTTTATGTTGTACTAAGTATTTTCTGTACGTTCTGATTAAATTCTTAATTGACTGAACATATATTGAGATTCTATCATATGCTAGCAATTTTGAGGATACAACGATTTAGGAATGATTTTAGGAAGTATTATCTGCCTCCATTCTATAGAAAACAGGGTTCATATGAGTTATAAATAATTTTATATTTATAAATAATTTGGGTAAAATAATTTTGGATAAATAGATTTGGTATAAACAGCAGAGCAAAACTGGAATAGTGTATAATAATTTTAAAATTTATGTTTATAGATCAATATACTTGTTTCTATGACTATCTTTACAAGATTTAGCAAAAAAAGAGACAGAGAAGGAAATGGAGAAGGAGAAAGGAATGGAAGGAAGGAGAGAGAGACAGAGAGAAAAAATACGACAGAGGGATAGATGAGTAGATGGGCAGATGGACAGATTGCCTGCTAGGCTGATGGACGGACAACTCAATGCTTGGCCTAAAGTAGTTGGACACTAAGGAGCAGCTCACACCAACATCCTCCATTTTCCCCTTTCCCAGGAGGAGGCTCCGACTCACGGTAGCCCCAGCGTGTCAGAGGACCACTGCGCTCCATCCAGTTTTCAGTGGCTGGTTTTTTGGAATGATATCACCAGGTCTTCCCTCTGAGATGCCTCTGAGCGGACCGGAACGCTCATCCTTTCAGTTAGCAGGTGAACGGTAACCATGCCCACCACCCAGAGACTCCCCCTCACACCTACTCCAGGTCAAACAATGCACAGACTTCAGTGACGCGTCCACAAGCAGAGCTGGAGAGAGCTCTCCTGGCTTCTGCTGTTCCTCCTCTGAAGCAGTCTAAAATATCCACTCTGGCAACCAGATGGTATTTTAAAAAGGAATCTAATCAACTCATCCCCAGTGAACTGTCTCAGAACCTCTGATTGGGTTGTTGTCCCATTACACGCTATCATGCCCAAGTGGAATCAGGCATTTCCTTCACCGAGTTGTTGGATCAAGTCCGATTTCCAGAGATCCCAAGCTCCCAGGGAGTGGGTCCTGCCTGTTCCTCGGTGACTCCAGCACACCGAGGCCTCAGCCCAGCAGGTCTCGGGGAGGAGGCCCAGAACCTGCAGGCAAACGTGGTCCAATGCAACTTCTTGCACTCACGACCTACCCCCAGGAGGCTGGGGCTGCCCGGACGCTTGCTTTTTCCTGTTTACCGGATGACTCAGAACTTTACCCTTGAACCACAGGACCGACCGTGGTGAGGAGCCCTAACCTGGTTACCCCACTCCCACAGGTGGCGGGGGTCACCCCGCTCTGATCCACCCGAAGTTCTGCCCCTTCCCTGTGTGGCTGCTTACCTGCTGCACGCAGTGGGTTGACCCGTGGCACTCTCTGCACCTCTGGTCGCTCGGCTGTGGGGCGGAGAGGCTTTATACACTTAAGGCGTGGCTCGTTCTTCCGGGACCACCTCCCTAAATCGAGGGCTCCACCCTTCCGTGCAGAGCTGACTTGTCTTCCTGATCCAGATGAGAGGGCCCAACAGAGCACAGCTTCTCAGTTCACTGCTAAGGTCAGAACCTGACCAGGTTCATCTTTAAAACCCTGTAGGGAGTTTCCTTTGTAGTGGGTCGGGGGAAGGGTGGGGGCTTTGGTGGGGACATGGCAAGGGAGTTGTAGAAGCAGACTAGGGAGTGTGTAAGAATTTTGGATTTGGCAAAGACAGGGTATATAATTCCTAAACATCCTGATGTGTTGCAAATTTCTTTGTAATCTCAAACACAGCCTGTTTTTACGGCTGCCGCCTAAGAGGTGACAGGCGCTGAACTTCAACCTTCAACCCTGAGCTTTGACACGATCTCTTTATCAGTATATTCAGTCTCTTGACAGCTTATTTGTTGAGTCATCCACTCAACACTGTTAGTGCTAACTTAATGAATTAAAGCATTACAAGCCTGAAAAAAAAAAAAAACAAAAAACCGTTGCTTTTGAGTCTGACTCATAGTGACGGTACAGGACTGAGTAGAACTGTTTCCAGGGAGGGGCTGGTGGATTTGAACTGCCAACCTTTTGAGCTGTAGCTCTTAAGCACTGCACCACCAGGGCTCCAAGCCTGAAACACAAAGATAAAAGTGGATCTCTAAAACCAGGCCGCTGGCAGGCCAGGGGAAAAAGTCAAAAATAAAGCAACACCATTTTTCTCCTGTTTCAATGCGGATGCTGATTCGCTGAGGAGAGAGGATAAGGCTTTCCTTTAATCGGGAACGCAAATGCCTGCCCTCCAGGCCTGTGCCACTGAATATCATCTAGAGTCATCTGCTGCAAAACTTTTGAAAAATCAAAATGACGTGTATGTTTACATAACTTCACACCGTCAAAAATAATGCAGTGATTTCGAGTCTTCTAGGTCGCTATGAGTAGGAATCGACTCTGGCAAAGGGTTTTTTTTTTTTTTTTTTTTTTTAAGCACGCAAGTTAGTTTATTGCCTTATGTCGTAGGGTAAAAAATTCACGGACTTTAGTAAAGCAAAAAGAAAGTTATATTCGGCCTGTGTTCAAAGAGGCGAAAGTAGGAAAACGGACAAGCAGGTTGCTAGAGCCATGTCTGCCCAAGTCCGAGGAATGTTACAGAATCTTCAGTATATACTAACATTACAAAAGTGCAAAACCATTTAAAGCTTCACATTTTCACGAACTGGGTAGAAACTGTGATCCCACATTTTGAATTGTCTTTCTTAACAATCATGGGTACAGGTCTCCGCAATGACAGTGGGGAGGGTCTTCACGTGGTTCAACAAATCTTCTTTCACGAAATGCTAATAGAAAAAGAGTGGAAAGTCTTTTGTGTGCTGTTTGATTGGTTTATGTGAAAGATTCCCCAAAAGATATTTTCCAAGATTGTCCTGGTTATTGTCTTTATATCTCAAGGCCCAGTTGATGTGTCCTTGTGAGTCCAGCTCCAGCTAGGTCGCATTCTCTATGCTCAAGGACAGGAAATAATGACTCCAATATTATTTTTTAAATCATTTATTAAAATAAAAAGACCAAGGACTAGCTAGATTCCAGGGATTAAACATCATCATCAGATGTCTTTTGTTTTCTCCTTTGTTTTTTGCTTTCCTCTTTTACCTTGGCTTCAGTTTCCAGCAGCCTCCTTCCAAAAGGGCCTCAGCTTCTCTAGGCTTTAACTCCTTAAAATTTATCATGGCTCTGTTAGTGCCCCCAAATGTGTCTGATAGGCGCTGCTCATGACACGTGCTCAACTCTGTATTAACCATCGCTCTGGAGGATCAGCATTCCACAAGGCTGATATGTGGTATAGATCCATTCCTGCCTAGGCTGTGGTTGACATTTGACTGACTACCTTTCTGGAATGCCACAGTCTGGAAGATAAGGTAACCATTGTTGTCCTTAGGTGCCAGCCAGTTGGTTCCCATCGACAGCAACCCCGTGTAGAATAGAAAGAAATGTTGCCTGGTCTTGTACCATCCTCACATTGTTGCTATGTTGGAGCCCATTGTTGCAGCCTCTGTGTCAGTCCATCTCAGTGAGGGTCTTCCTCTTTTTTTCTCTGACCCTCTGCTTCACCAAGGAGCCCCGGTGGCGAGTGGCTAAAATGCTTGGCCGCTAACTGAAAGGTCTGCAGTTTGAACCCACCGGCTGTTCTCTGGGAGAAAGATATGCAGTTTGCTTCTGTAAAGACCACAGCTTTGAAAACCCTATGAGTCATTTCTAATCTGTCCTATGGGGTTGCTATGAGTCAGAACTGACTCGATGACTGTGGGTTTGGTTTTGGTTGCGGCCTTCAGCTTTACCAAGCATGATGTCCTTCTCAAGGGAGTGGTCTCTCCTGATAACATGTCCAAAGTAAGTGAGATTAAATCCTGCCATTCTCACTTCTAAGGAGTATTCTGGTTGTACTTCCTCCAAGAGGATAGAATCTGGTTTCTGGCAGACATTCCAATAAGGTGAACATCTGGATCTCCTGAAGCAAAGGAAGAGTTCTGTGCTTGGTCCTGTGGCTGTAAAGTAGATCCAGCAAAATTCACAGAAGAGTTTCAGTTTATAGTCTGGAGCTGTTATGGCAAACTGTACATCTAACTGACAGCTTGTCAGCTGAAAACATCGGTAATCTTTCATCGTGGGCTCCAGATCCTGAGCAAGACTCCGAGGGCTCATTTCAGTAAATTGTAACTTTGCAGGTCACCTTTGCAGCAGATTTATATAAGGACCTAACAGTGCAGAGGAGAAAGTAGAAGGGTGCTTTGGGACATGTTCTTTCTCTCAGAAAACCTGGGTTACAGTTCTGCCTGGCTCCGCGTGCCATCCTCGCTTCTTTCTGAAAGGCTGTGAAACGCTGCTCAACTGTGGAACTGCGTCCTGGCCCGTGCCGCCACACTGGTGGGATCCCCGGGGCTTTTTTGTTTGTTTGTTTGTTTGTTTTGATTTGTTCTGTTTTGATTTGTTTGCTTGTTTCCTTTTCTTTTCTCGGCTTGGGAAACCCCTCTAGCCGGCACTACTGGGCAGCTTGGGAGTCACTCGCTCAGCTTCCGGTTGTTCTTTTGTGGTTGCCACTACAGTATGTGCCAAGAGAGAGCTTTGTCTTCTTAGCAGATCCTAGTGTATCCTGTAGGTTGTCTGTGCAGATATAAGCATGTGTCCACCTCACTGAAACTAAAGTGGTGTTCATCTGAACTAGATCAATATAAATTAAGATGTTAATTGTCTTTTAAACTGAAAATAGTAAAATTGTGTTCTACAACTTCTCCCTCCACCTTTTGTTCACTCTAACATATGGCCTCAGAAATTTTCCTCTATCCGCGCAAGTATTTCAGTTTTTTGACTGGACTTTGAGCAAAAGTCTGAGTTGGAAAATATGCTATTTAAGATGAAAATATCTCTTTGAAGAACCTGTAATATATCCTTTCCCCTAGATCAGCGTTAGATTGTCCAATAGAACATGTTTATCATGTTACTTTCTCTCTGTAGATAGACAGATAGATAGAGTTGCTTTGTTAATTTGTTTTCTAAAGCATTTGAAAGTAGATTTCAGACATTATAGCAATTTCTCCCTAAATACTTCAGGTCCTCTGTTTTGTTTTGTTTTTAATACGGCTGAAATGTTTTTAATTATTTCAGATATAGCAGTTCCAGAAGTGGTAAAAGTCAATTTACTTTTGAGTAAAGAGAGGAAAAAACATTTTTTTAAAGAAAAAAATATTCACAAATCGAACCTGTTATAAGTTTTAAAATTATCTACTGGATCCTCAAAGTCTTTTTTCTTCAATCTGTTATAATTACTTCTTCTTTTAAGGCTTAAAGTCTTCCTGCTTGGCCACTTGAGCCCCTTTCAGCTGTCCTCTGTGTTCCTACGACAAGTCCTCATTAGTCTTTGAGCAAGTCCTTGCTCGCTGTCACAAGATGGTTTTCAGTTTCATCTTGTTGTCCTGTACCAGACCCAGAAGCCGCCATTTCTCTAAGAACCCCTGTCTTATTAAGGAATGATATTTAAAAACCAAGATCTGAACAAGATAACAAGGAAAAGAATTTGTCCAAAGGACTAATGGACCATAACTACCACAGCTTCCACCAGACTTGAGTCCAGTACAGCTAGATGGTGCCTGGCTACCACCACTGACTGCTCTGACCGGGATCACAACAGAGGGTCCTGGAAAGAGCTGGAGAAAAATGTAGAACAAAATTCTAACTCACAAAAAAAGACCAGACTTATTGGCCTGACAGAGACTGGAGAAACCCTGAGAATATGGTCCCCGGACACCCTTTCAGCTCAGTAATGAAGTCACTCCCGAGGGTCACCATTCAGCCAAAGATTAGACAGCCCCATAAAACAAAATGAGACTAATGGGGCATAACAGTTCACGGACAAGGACTAGAAGGCAGGAGGAGACAGGACAGGTGGTAATAGGGAACCCAAGGTTGTGAAGGGACAGTGTTGACATGTCATGGGGTTGGTAACCATTGTTATAAAACAACATGTGTACTATTTAATGAAAAACTATTTGTTCTGTAAACCTTTATCTAAATTACAATAAAAATAAATACATAAGTAAAGGAAAAATAAATAAAGAAAAGCGAGCAGTTTGTTCTTCCATTTATAGTCCTTCCCAAAAAAGCCTGAACTTGTTCGTTTTAACTGGGCTTTCTACAAGCCCACCTTGCTGCAAATCTGTTAATAAAGAAACTGCATGCAATTATGAAAATAAATAAATAAAAAACAAGATTTGGGGGAGTGAACCCTTTAAAATGTTTCATGTAAAAATTCTTGGAGTATGTTTGTCCAGAACCGGGAAAAGTCTGAGATGTCACCCTACTTGAAAGCTAACAAGTTTGTCTGCCAGTATTTCTTGGATGTGGGCAGAAGACATGGGCTAT